GGCCCCCACTTGCGCGCATCGCTGCGCCACTCGTTCCACCCCCGCTTGTCCGGGCTCTGCCCAACGCGTCTTGTCGTCCCGAGCGAAGCGTCTCTTTGAAAAGCCCCGCCCAGCCTCATTTCTAATGCGGAGCGATCGCGTCATGGGCGTATCGTTAGCGACCGGCGCGTGGCGTGCGGAGCGGCACAGCGCAGCGCAGCCAGCGCGACGCGCCGAGCGGCGCAGGCCACCCGCGGGCTTTGTCTGCACGCCCGCCCGCCCGCGGCGGATCTCTTTGAAGGCGCGTTTCTGCGAGTGCTCGCCCGCGCCCGTCCCCGCCCCGCCGCTGGCAGCGGTCGTCATTACGGATTTAACGAGTAGGGATTAATAACAAGCGGCGCTCGCGCCGCCTGCGCGATTGGCTGGGGCGGAGGGCGCCTTCCTTCCGCCCTTCTCCTCTCCCGACGTACGTTCCAAATTTGAGAATGGGCGATATTCAATTCACGATACAGACGCGACATTAGCATAGTCCCTTACATCCATATTTATGAACACGTGTAACACTGTCCTGGAAGAGTAACAATAATTTGAAATTTGACGACTTGCATTGAAATAACGATAACTTGTATTACCCGATGGGGTACTCTTGGGAGAGCTGCTCAACGAGTCTGATGGAGGTAAAGCACAAGTTCACAGGACGGAAAGTAATTATTGCGACTCTGAATGGGAGTTCATAGCTCAGTGGCCGTTCTCGGATCGCCGGGAGATGGAGGGCCAGGGCGGAACAGCGGCCCAGCGCCGAGGACAAAGCTGCTGATTTGGGGGGGGGGGGGAAGCTGAAAACAACGTGGTTGGGGCCAGTGAGAGCACGCTCGGTGTAATCTCAGAGTTTGAAGTTCATTCTTTAGTTTCCTTCTGCTTATAGAACCGGCATTTTTTATTTCTTGCCTTCTCTCGGATTCCCACAGACTCGCTTCTTGCATTCAGCCTATTTGCAACTAAGTCTGCGCCTTTTCTCTCTCCTGCCGACCCTTGATTCTGCGATTTGGTTTTTTATACTTGTGACTTTGTTGACTTGTGTACTTTTTGAAGTGTATTCCTTGTTATTTTTCGTTTGCGGTATCTTCTTACTCTCCTTCGCCCCCAATTCGTCATCTCGTCTTAATTGTACTTCGTAGTGTCACGTGGGGCGGCCGGTGGGTGCGAGAGCGGGCCGGCTCGCTTGAATAGCGGCACTGGAGAGGCGCCGTGAATGCAGTCGCCGCCGCTGGGAGCGGACGAGTGCCGCCCCGCGCCGCGCCGCCCGCAGCCGCGGCTGAGCCCTGCGCGCCCGGACGGCTCCGATAAATAATGCTCTGGGTTCGCAAAGCGTAGGTCTCTGTGGCCGCCGACCAACTCCTCCGCACGACTCGATTCCTTGCAGCCAATGCAACTGTTTTTCAATTGGAGGATTAAATTCTGCATCGTCTTGATGCAAGTTTTATCTGTTTACTGAGGATTACTTTGTAGGATTACTAGTGATAACAATTTGAATGCTTATCCAAATTTGTTGCAAAGATTAAAGAAATGGCGGCAGGCGTGATACAGAATTTGAGAAAATGATCGTTTTATTACAAATAACTAATCTTGTTACATATTATTAGGTATCTCTTACTCGTTAGAAATTAGGTATCTCTTACTCTGGAAGCTTAAATTGACTCCTGTTATTCGGAATTAGAATTAGTTCATTGCGTGAGTATGAATTGTCCTCGAATCATTTCTAATAGTCATTTTCAAGATTTATGTACAGACCCAAGCAGTTTCGTTGAGAATGCTAATTTATAAAGTAAGTTACCATTTTTGGGCAATCCGTCCAGGTAGTAATATTTTGAAATTTGGTAAGTTACACGCGCCTTGAAAGGGCCTAGAAGAGCTAGGAAATTGACGTTTTCAAATGTGAAATTCTTTGAAAGCTTTCGTTCAGATATGTTTCTCTTAGATCAGTATGAATTATTTAGAAACTGAAGTAATTGGCCTCTTCACAAATGTTTCAAAGGTTCTATGTAAATAGCACTTGTCCGCATTCCGAAACCGGCATGTGTAACCGACGAGTGTTGAGGCTCGCTGTTCTTGACGTCTGCGCCGCTTCGGATCTTGTTACAGCCAAGCGCTTGGCTCCCTGCCGACCGCGCCCGCGCCCGCGCCCTCGCCCGCGCCCTCGCCCGCGCCCTCGCCCGCGCCCTCGCCCTCGCCCTCGCCCTCGCCCTCGCCCTCGCCCTCGCCCTCGCTAGCGCATCCGGTGTCGGCGGCTTCGAAAGCCGATCCGATTCGCCGAAGAACAGCGCGAGGCGCGCTCTGTCAAAAGCCGCCGCCATATTGTCCCGCACCTGAGGAATGCCGGGAGCGCCGGCCTCGGGCGGCCAAAATTAATTTAGTTGGGGCGGCCGCGCGCTTGCCTGGGCACAATGCGGCGCCATTGTGCCGGCGCCCGGAGCGCGCAAAATTGTGTTTCGCACGGCTGAATGTGGCGGCGGGTGGCCTCCGCCATACCTGCTCTGTGACAGAGCGTGTGAAGAATGTTTCGCGGCATTTAATGATTATGGGAGGGAGGGAGTGGGCGTTTTGAACAAGCGTCATAGGAATTTAATTTTACTGAACGCTGTATATTTTCTTTAAGTGGGCGGAGGCGGGCGGGGCGCGCGGAATGCGGCGATCGGGGGCATAAAAATGCCGGGCGCTATTTCGGGTATCGGATTGCGCGTCCCCTGCGCCCTTTCTACTGCTCGCTCTTGCGGTCTCTCTCCGTAATCAAAAGTGCTGGCCCGCTCGCCCAGGATGGAAGGCGTGTCCGTCTGCTCCTGCTCGTCGCTCGCGTCCTCGTCGCCGTCGTCGTCGCGTTCGCTCGCGTTATAGGGCCGCCAGCTAATGTGTTTCTGCGATGTGAGCTACTTGGGAGCATATTAACATAGACGCAGCATCATATGTAATGTGTTTCTGGCTGTCCGGCTCCCCCCCCCCTCGTCTCGTCCCCTCCCTCCCGTCCCGCCCACTAGCGCCCCGGAGCCTCGACCCGCCCCGCGTCCTTCCTCGCTGAGCGCCCCGCGACGGAGTTGCAGATGTATATAAAATGACGCCCGCGGATCCGAACTTGTGCGCGGACGTGTAAATATTTCAATTTAATAACGAAGTTTCTCGCGGAGCGGAACAATTACGGCGCTCACCTGCGCAGTGTTCGGCCGAGCGGGGCCCGCCGCGTGCGCGTGCGTGTTTACTTTTGTTAAATTAATATTGTAGTGAGTCCGCTGCGGTGGCCGCCCGGCCGCCTCGTCGCCGTTCGCTTGGCGCTCATTTGTGCTCTTTTTTATTAGATCCGCGAGCGTGCTCGCGCGCGCTGCTAAATTAATTCCTATTTTCATCAGAGCGGGAGAGAGTTCTGGCGCTAGGAATTTCTCTCGTGCCTCTTGCCGGCGTCGCAGCCGCCACAACCGGCAGTCCCCGGCGTCGCGCCTAACAGCCTCTCTATATTCATGGTCACTGAGAGGCCGGAGCGCCCCCGCCCCCGCCGCCTCGAGGCGCGCCTGCAAGACGCGGCATTGCCGCCTCGCCGAGGCGGAGGCGAGCGCTTAGGGCACGTGCGGCGCACGGCTGTGTTCCACGCGAATGGGGAGAAAGGGGGAGCGCGGCAGTCCATGAATACTTCCGGAAGGTGATGCGCGAAGAAACGGGGGTGTCACTTCGCGGGGCTACTGCGCTGCACTGGCACAGGAGGTAAAATCGACCGCTGGTTGCGTTTGGGAGTTGCGTTGCACCGTAGGGTTGCTCGCGGCTTTTGTAAAGAAGTGCTGACGCGGCTGAAATATCGGAAGGTGGCTCGGCGCGCAGTGTTTGCGGGAGCAGGGCAAAGTCTCAGGTGGAGCAAGCGCGCAATGCGCTAATTAGCGCGTGCGCACCAGACGCACTGCTCCCATTTTCGCTGCCCCTCATTACCTCGCGCTGGCCGGCCCGAGCCTCGTCAGCACCCGGGTGTCTAAGCATAATCTTTGCCAAAGTTATTTAATAACTTTACTGATAACAATACTTCGTACCATACCAAATGTTTAAAAATAAAACCTTTTCCTTATTCCAAATATTTACCGCCATTTTTTATCGTTGTTGGTAATGCAGCAGTCTTCTCATATCGGGATTTTCCATTATCTTAAAGGTTACGGGGTCAAAACTTTCGCTTTACTAAACAGTTTTAGCCCCTGTCGTCTGAGGCATTTCTGAGTCTGAATAGTCTTGGATGCATTTCACCTTATCCCTGTTGTAATGTGCAGTGTCCGTCAATTCAGGTAACAAATCTTTGTCTCGATAGCTTTTTCTCTTATTTTAGTGAACACGTTCGCATTGAAGTGCGCTCCCTCCGTCGGAGCGTCTGCGCTTTCGAGTGTGGGCGGCGCGGCGCGGCGTTGCCGATTGCCAGAGGCACACAACACCGCGACGACTCGCGACGCGCTCTCAAACGCGAACAAAGCGAAGGGCGTGGGCCCCCCCCTCCCCCCCCCTCACTGCCGAGCACCTGGCGGCGCCTCCCGCCCGCGCCAGAAAGGCGCCCGAAGTAGTAGGTGGTGTAATTTCTTTAAAACGTCCTGCAAAGGCGCGCGCGTCCGCCCCGCCCCGCCCCACTGCCGCCGCCGCCGCCGCCGGTGGTAGCCCGAGAACGGGTATTCGGCGCCCCCAAATAATTAAAGTAAAAGAACAAGACCCGCACCTCCTCGCCCTGCCCGCGCGGGGCCTTCTCAGGAGGAGGAAGATGAGAAATGTTGGCGCGCTGCGAAGAGGCTGTTGGCAGGAGCGATGCCCCGCCCCCTCTGACGCCTCGCGCTGTCGCCCGATTGGAAGCGCGGCGCTCTGGCTTTCGCCCCACCGTCCGTTTCTACCACGAATTAACTAACAAAAGGCGAAGTCTTAAAACGCCAGCACGTGTGCCGTATGTCTTGTTTATTATTGTCTGTGGACGCTTTTGTGTAGGTGACTTGAAATGATAATTTGTTTGGTTGCAGGTGAAATTGGATAAGCAGAACGGGAAGCCGTCGAAGGTGATCCACATCCGCAACATCCCCAACGAGGTGACGGAGGCGGAGATCATCCACCTGGGCATTCCCTTCGGACGCGTCACCAATGTCCTCGTGCTCAAGGGCAAGAACCAGGTGAGAGTCTTGTGCGAAGCCATGTTTGTTCCACATTTCAGTGCTGATTTCAATCCTGACTTTTTCTACACGCTGAAAAACGACATCATCCTTTGTATTCGTAACTCATATTGAGTTATCGCCGATTCTGGAGAAAACAGAAGTAATTGTTTATTTTCAGTTCATTAAATCCACCAAAGGGAGAATAAGACGGGCAGCAACTACATAATCCGTTCCCCATCCACCGAGTGATGGGTGGCGGCATTTGGACAGCAATTTCACTCAGATGCCGATAGATCGATTCGGCCTTAGTTCTTTAAAAGCCGATAGAAGCCGTTCTCGCCGCGTACCAGGCGGCGAAACGCTTTAAAAATCGTGCAGCGGACGGTAAAATTAATGTAAAAATTATTGCGAAATTGCTTTTTAATTCGGTTTGGCTTATTTTTATTTACCACATTAATGCCAGTTTTTATAAATAATTCATACGCATGGCTTAACCGCGTCCGGTCAGTGAGAAAAATAACGTCGATTGGGGAGAAAAATGAATATCGAATAGCGGCTAATGGCGGCCGGGTGCGTGGTCTTTCGCTTGCAACCCCGAGGGGGGGGGGGTCCAAAGCGATGGACGCTGGCGGATTGCACGACCGCCACCCCCATGACTTTTTGGGAATGAATGCAATTTTCTTTCCATGGATAAAACTGGTTTTCTGTCGGCGACGGGGTTGTATATTGCTGAAGGTAGACTTGAAAATAGTTTTAATCATACAGAAACTTCGCTGTTAGGATCTTGGAAAACCTATCTTGCCCAAATACGGAAAACAAGGTCTAGGAAATCTGTACTAATCAACATTTTTATTGATGTATGTGGCAATAACTATCAACTATTGTTGTAGAAAGAACATATTGACTCATTGTAACGGAACATTTCAGTTTTCATGAGTAGGGTATTGTATTTATGACAGTATTGGGGGTAATCTATGCCTGCGTTTTTGGTGAGAACTCGAGTTCGCAGGAAAAACGTGCCTAGTATATCACAGAAAGACGGGAAAGTAAGTAAAGTGAATGAGAAATATTTTTGTTTATCTAATCACATTTAAGGCCAGTGAAAAAATGTATTTTTTAAAAAGTTGTATTATTAGTACGTTCTCATTACGATAGCTTTCAAAGCCGCCGGTATACTGATACAATGTGTAGTTATCCCTCAAAATATCTTCTAAAATCCAATTTTCTGAATGTTTTACTTCTTGGATGTGCAAAGTTTATGAAGATCTTACTTCCATGTGACATTTTCGTAATGAATCTGATCAGGTTTTAAACCCAATTTCCATGATTAAATTCTGTGATCGCAATGTTGCGTCAGGTGTCTGTCCGACTTCACAATTTCCGCCTTGTTAATATTGTCTAGTACTCCATTTATCGCTGCCCTTTCTCGATGCCATCCTTTGTCTCGTACTCATCTTCCTAAACCTCTGCCGCCGGTGCCAGCACAACCGCCACCACCTCTTTGAAGGCCTTTGAGGAGGCGAGCATTCATTCCAGACGAGAAGACGGCGCCGATCGCTGCAATTCCCTTTCCTTACTATTAACTTTCTTAGCTTCGTTTTTCCCTCGCTATTCGCTTTGTTAGTTCTTTATCATTAAGGCAACACAGCTTTCAACAAATTGATCGACGTATTAGTGTTTCGTTACTAGTGCGGAACTAGAGGAAACTTTACGTTTGTAGTGTATTGCGCATGATACTGGAGATGTTTTTACTTTTAATGCGTCTTCATTGAAGGAATTTAAAAGTAGTAGGGAAGCTTTATATTGTTAGTATTTTATATCAATTTTAAGTTCAAAAATTATGCAAAAAATAAACCGTGATATATGGCTTCGCGGACAAACCATGTAGTCCAAATACGAGTGGACACAGAGATGCATCTTTTGCAGTAGTGCATGCATATTGAAAGAATACATCCTCTGGCATCTGTATTGTAAACAAACTGGTTCTGTTTCACAGCCATGCGAAGCCATTATCGCTAGGTTTTCTTTTCCGAAATGCGGTATCCGTCCAGCCCTGGAAACGTCTGGGAGTTGTTGTTTTAATAGGCAATTTGTATTGATTGGCGTGTAAGCGAATCGTGCGCGTGCAACAGCTGCGTTCTTTGTGCGTGGGGCGGCGAGAGACCTCCTGATGAATCAATTAGCGGCGCGTGCGGTTCGTGACGGCAGCAGATTCCGAAGGCCACTCCCCCCGCGGCCCGGGTCGTCCGGAGTAGCGCCCGGCGGCGGCGGCGGCGGCGGCGCCGAGTCATTACGGACGAGATTACTTTCGAATTGCTGCTGCGCGAGGAGCGCCGGATTATCTGGCCGTCACGCGCCCCGTGCCTTCGACGCTCCTTGGCACCTCCGTGATTGCGCCACGCGCTTCCTTCCTCGCCGTCCGCCCCATTTCCGCCTCCCGGCGCGAACTGCGCCCCCGCCGCCCGCCTTATTCGCGGCGTTTCAGTGTGTTTACCTACCGCCTGTCGCCTGCGCGCGGATCGCCCGATTTCCCCGAGCGCTGCGCGGAGAGGGCGCGCCAGTATCATTTCCGCGACGTCTGGGGAAGGTGGCGCGTTTGCTCTCTGGGATTGGCCGGAACGAGATTGTCGGGGCGTTGTCTGAGAAGTCGCGCGTTCGGGCCTCTGGCGGCACAGGAGTAAAAAGCAGACATATTTGGCTTCTCCGCATGGTTCCGAAGGGCCATGCGAGAAGCCGTGACGGAGTTCTTACGGGAAGAATTTTGGAAACTTTGGAGGCAGGGATTTTGGGGTACCTCGGCCGATAAAATGGGTTTCGGAACAAGTTTCATTCGAATTATATTGACAAGAATTAGTGTTTTTCTCTTTAAATTATTGATCTTCATATACATTAATACTAAATTGAAACTGACATTAATTTCCTTAATAGATGGTTCACGTGGAAGGAGTGTTGGCGTAAATAAGTACCGCGTTTGCCTCCTACCGCTAAGAACGACTACACTGTGAAAGCAGTTGAAGGCCCCGTAAGCTCCACCAAATAACTGTTGGAGAAGGATAGAAAAGAAAGTGTAATTTTGTGCCTACTTTGGCTGGTGGCGTGTGGGCTGCCCGCTTTGCTTCCAAGCCGTCAACGAGCCCCGCGGCGGAACCGCCCTGCAAATTGTTTACCACGTGTAAATCTGGCGGGGCGTCGGCGGGGCCCATTGATAACGAGGACGAACGGCGGCGGGGGCGCGTGCCCCGGGCGCCGGCGCCGGAATTACCAGGGCGCGGTCGAGTGCTCCCGCGGGGCCGCCGCCGATATTTCAGCCCCCGCCCCCGCCCGCGCCCGCGCCCCCGCCTCTCGCCGGCCGGAGCAGGAGCCGTTTCGTTTCCGCGGTTGCGTCCGGGCGCTGGGTCGCCCCGCCCCGCTCCGCCCCCAGGGACGCGCAGGTGAGGGCGCAGGAGAATTGGAGAGCTCTTCCCGTCGTAGAGTATTGTGGATGGGCTGTTCCCAAAGCAGCGTTCTTGTTTTTTATGAAGTCGGGCGGGCGTCGCCTTGCGAGGCGCGGCGCTCTCTCTCTGCATGATGGACGACGCCGTGCGGATCGATCTTTGGAAATGGCCATGCTCTCTCTTCCTGATCGTATTGGGCAGGCGGAACACTTCAGTTGATAATGGAGTCCTCCGAAGTCAGCGTTGTCACGTTGACGGTTTTCTCATGAATAGGGCTTGAGAGTCCAAAGTTCAGTATGCATGGCGGGGGAGGAGGGATTCGCATTTTCGAAATTAGATCCGAAAAGGCTACGATAACTTTATATGAAGAAAAATCTATCTCTAAACGGCGTTCGAGCATACAAAGTATTTGCAAACCCCGTCAGGACACTCAGCCTGAGTAACGCGTAGGGTCTGCAATTGCATGCTATTTCACCAAGTAAAGCATCGAGGTAACCCGTCTGACGTCGGGTGGCGTCAAGCAGGGACTATAGTTACAATAGTCTTAAGGCTTAAAGTGCCGTTGACTGTTTTTTGTTCTTTTTGCTAACTGTAGTGTATTAATAAGAGGCGTAAAGTCTGGTTAATGTTTGATTGTTAGCAATGATTTATAATGTGCTTAATTAATTTTTACCTAATCCGTGTCGGTAATCACTCTCGAGTGGGGCG